TATTCTAATACAGATAACTCCCTATGTGTGTCTGTTGTTTTGTCGATGTGCTTGTGTGCGTGCCCACCGAAACTTATTACTCCTTACTCCTGGCCCTAGAGCGTTTATGTTTGTTAGGGATTCAGTTAGCTAGACGGGAACCCCGAGGGTAACTCATAGGAGGGGATAACAGTCGGTAGTAGTTGATAAAGAGCCTGAGAAGCAAGAGTAGCAGGATCCTTCGTCCTTTCGTGGCAGACCTTACCAATTGTTATCATTCCTCATCGTTATTATTCCCTGCCATATCCAGATCCCGTCACATGCTATATCACCCAGCAAATCGCCAAGGTTCCACGGTTGACAGGGAAGCAGTGACCAATCTCATGATGCTATTATCACGCATCACTAGTGCTTGTACACCGTCGAGTGTGTCCCCTCCTAATTTGAACAATCTAGCTGCAAGAGAACAGGAGTTACGAATTCCCTTCAGACTCGCACGCATCTACATACATAAAGGATAAAGTTTTTGGCGTCGGTCAATCCCGTCTGAGGGATGCGCCCCCGCACTCGACTTCCATTCAGAATCGTAGTGGCGTAAAGAGTGCGTATGTGGCCTATATAATAACTTGCGGTGGCCAGCCGATGTACAAGTCAGTGCTTTTATCCTCCCAGACGAGTGTGGTACCAACCGACCCCGGGATGAAAGGCTTGGTTGCCCTAGGCCGATATCGATCCGGGATTCGAACTCTTGACCGTGCGTGTGAGATAGTGCACCACTTGCCATTTCACCACCTTCGCCTATTTACACACATACCAAGTACAAAGCCCAGTGACACACCGACAGACACTATAGCGAATAATAAAAAGTACATCATAATCAAAGGGAACAGGGGTTATGAAGTTTCAGTCAACGCACACATAAACAAAAACGAATAAATAATACCGCTACACCAAAAGGCACACTCAGCGTTTTATTGATGCTGAGATCCTCCATCTTCGGTTTTCTTTTCCGCGCTGGTGCGCCAGCTTTCCGCTTCTTTTCGCTCTTGCAGTGCAGGAGCGCTAGAATTCTTTCCGCTGTTTTGTGTATATTCTGAAAGTAACTATTCAAGCGCGTTAGCCATGTTCTAGTCACTAAGAGCAGATGGTTTCTGATCTTTGCCGTTAACAACACCATTTTCAGGAACTTGTAATAAACGCACGTGTCATAGAGAAATTCGGTTCGGACTTTGACATTGTACTTCCGGATGAATTTCACATCAAAGTCGAGAAGTTGAATAAATTGTTCACGTCGGAATCACAAATGGACAGTGTATGTGGCCATTTCGAAACCATTGCGTAGTTACTACCTGGATCACGCGTATACTGATGTATTGCCTTTTCCAGGCTATCGAGAAGTACCTGGATACCCTGAATGGAAAACGAAAACGGGCACCATTGACTGTGGAGCGCAGAGTTTTTGAAGGGGATTCTGTCGTTGTGCACACCACAGCTATTCCGGGAGATGACGACCTAGAGGACGGAGCAGATGAGGAGGTCCTCTCCCGACCACAAAAACCTATAACTGTGAGATTTGTGCCTTAATTTTTTTGGTAATTTTCCTTGCCGCAGCCGAGCTTTTTTTCAGACCAACAGCCGTCAAGTTTTTGGTCGACATAACAAGCCAAAGAGGAGTATGGTGCAACCAATTTACCGGTAAAGTGATTATGATTATGAATTATTATCGGAAATCAAAGAAAATAACAGAAAGGCAAAAAAGGAACACAATCGAGTCTCCGATAAGCAGTAATTTTTAACTAATGGGAAACAACAGAGGGATCTGCGTGAAGAGGGATTGGAATTCGGCTCGGCTTCAGGCTCGTACAGGGCGACCTATGTAGAACTCCGGATACCGTCTTTGTAGGTCCGCCAACCTGCCGAAACCAAAACCAGCATCGCAGAAGTCGAGGGGCTAGTGTTGTGCACAAAACGTGAAATNGTGACAGCTTTCTGAGTCAGACAAAGTTATTAACATAGCAGCAAATTTAATCGCTTCTCTGCCTGATAAGTTATTGAGAGTTTAGTTTCTTGCTCAAGTGGTCACCACCTTTCAGTCATCCTCAGTTGTGGTTGCAAAAAAGTTTTGCTTTTTAGACAAGCCCCGCCAACAAATTCTGATTATGTGAAAGTGATCAGCAATTCACATTGGAAGTGCAAGATTTGTGATGCCGACCTCTACGGAGCTGTAATCTCGGCATGTAGGTTCCTCCCACCTTCTCCATCTTCTCCTCCCCAGTTTTCGACAATGTTGAGATTGATATGAGCTGTCGCCGTTCTTCCAGGCGCTATTCGACATTTCAAGTTGAAACATCCGCAGGAATCTGATAGTCTCCAATTTGAAGTTGTAAGAGTAAGTAACAGAAAAAATAGATGCTCCTCTAATTTCGTCTTCAGTGAACATTTCCATTCTTCATTCTTCCAGGCTCGGTTGGATCGAATAAGTGATGGATGTATGGAGTTTGTGCACCCACAGATGCTTGAGTGTCTTATCTGTCATCTAACTTACCAATTACATAAGCCGTACAATGTGTGCCGTGGCATTCGTCATTTAAGATCGAGACATCCGGAAATAATGCCCGAATTCAACGGTGAACCGGTACGAGTTTTCAAAACCTTCGTTATGACTGTTATATAGGGCTTGATAGCTCCAAGAGCCTTCTCTTACTCATTTAAATATATATCTTCAGTTACGGCGTTACCGAAAGACAGGGACAGCTTTACGCCTGGATGATGACCCCAACATTCCTAGACGGCGTAAAGAGGCGCAACTGTCTGTCAGAGAAAGTGCCGATATTCTGGCTCGCATGAAAGCACAGTACCCTGGCAGCTTCGATAAGGTCCTAATTCTCAATTCCTGAATTGTTTTGACATTTGTCAAACTTTTTGTTCCATTTTTAGTAGGTTCAAGGCTTAAGCATGAATGTTTTCATTTGTCTTTCAAGGTTCGGACTGTTTATGGTTCGTCTGGTGAGCCAATGTTTGTGCTCATGAATGGCGATGGTGAGCAGGACGAATTAATCAAAGATGGTCTGAAACTACTATCAGAGAGTGTCAGCTCGGAATCGCACAACAAAGGGGTCGAACAGAACGAGGTTCATTATCATCGAAATAGAAATCAATTGACTCTTTAGAGTGCTACCTTGATACCCTTTTAGGATTTTGCTTTTCTGAAAAATCGAATAGGTAATCTTCACAACAGAGGAATTTCCAGGCTTTATACTTTTCTTGTATAATCAACACATGCTACAGCGTGTTTGACTGATCGATAATTTTTATTCATAGCTAGTGATTCCAAGAAATTTCACGTTCCATGATGATGCTCTGTCAGTATTGTCCCCCTCATTATTTGCCTACATCTGCTCTATTGAATTATAGCCTATAGAAACCCGTAATAGACGGTAGCTCTCAGGCAAGATCGGACATCTGAAGTCATACTTGCGAAACACAAGGGTATGCCCCTGAAGTGCTGATTCGGAAACGGTCTACAATAACCTATTAAGAAATCCTTTCGAATGGCCCTCCGGAAGAGTCTAGAAAGGGATGAGATTCGATCAAAACTTTTTACTCAACCTAAAATTTTCTTCAGAGAAGTAATCTTGTTCCATACAGTTGGCTCAAGCGTGCGATCTTCGTCGTTATTCACTTATAGATTTTTTGATTCTGGACGGCGCCTCTTCTATTGAACTTAGCCCTTATATGGCATTTGATGCTGACTTCAGCGATCCTGGCATTCACTTTTCTGATAGCATGGCGTGATCTTTGTTTCTTTTCTTTTCCGGACCTTTTCAGTATCATTTCCATTTTCCTCGAATGTTGAGCTCGTGGTCTCCTGAGGGTTGACGCGTGAAGCTGGTGCACCGTTCCTTTAGCGAACGGATTCATTTGAGGGTTTCTATGGGGAAGTCAAAGTAGAGTAGCGTATGTGTTGTGTGCATATGTGCCTGTTTATATAACATAGTTTAGTGTGTCTGTCTGTATGTCTGTTTATTTGTCACTCCCACTTAATGAGGCGTCATCGTGAAAGTGTACTTGAACAGCTGTGCCCAAATGGGGTTAGTTTCGAATGAGCAGAGCCTCTTAAAATGGCAAGACCCAAATTAGGCTCCTCCCCAGTGGGTGGGGCGCACGCGAAAACCGTTTTGCCCTACATAGAAACAGCTGCACTACCCTTCTAAGCAGCTTCTAATACGTCTTCAGTTGAAGGGCTTAAACTGGGAAATCTTTGCTTGGCTTAAAAATGTTTGGGAGACTAGCAAATAAACAGACATCAGGCTTAATGGCCTGAGAGGAGTGTAGCAGAAATGTCGTAGCTTTGATCAGAACTTTCCGTTCGTATGAGGAAGTGGGGGGGAGGGGGGACGAATGCTTA